CCGGTTTCGACTCCCAGCCGATGCACGCTCAAACCTCGCCTAGTTTACTTACTAGTGGTAAATCTGAGACAGAGAAAGGGCTCAGCGTGAGGCTGGAAATCTTATGTGGTAAAAGCAACAGCACCGGTACAGAAAATTCAAGGCTGAAAGCTTGAAGCCTTCACTATGTTACACTCGGAATTCAAACGAATGAAAGAGATACAAAAGAACTAGGAAAACATGATATTTTGGAAGATATGGCAGGTTAGAAAGAGTGGTCACGAGTTGATACTGGTTATAGAGAACCATTGAAAACCATGGAATACTCAATACTTGTTTCGTCCTCCTTTGGGACTCATCGGCAGTACTCACCCCTCACCGGGATTTGAAATCAGGACCTCCCGGTTACAAGGCAAGGTCTTAGATCATTTGGGAAGTTGAACCAGGCTGAATGGACTAATTGCTGACAAAATCTCAGCAAGGATAAAATTAGCTCACACAGGACTTGCCAGCCTTCGTCATCTTCGGTGTAGACAAATGTGTGTACTGAGCAGGAATTTTTTCTGTCCTCATTTAGAGTTGTGAGGCATGGCTGTTGAGATTGGAAGGTATGAAGAGACTAGCCATTTTTGACCATAGGTATCTGCGTTCACTCCCTCATGTTAGGTAGTGGTATCGTATTGAAATTCGGTGTAGGGTGTTCGGTAATGGGAGAGAGAGAGAGTGAGTCACTCGACGAGGTTGTTCGGCTGACAACGAATGTGTTGCACATGTTGAGCCATGAATGTTATCTGACATGGGATTTGGTTAACAAAAACAGTGTTAGTCGTGTGGCTAAAACAAAACCTTGCATCAATCCATGAAATCCTTAACTGTTGGTTTAAGTCATGTAGTGAACTGAAGACTACCTGTCTGGGGCCATTATGATGACGGTACAAACCAGACTGTACTGTGTGAAGTGTGATAACTTGAATCGCTGTATTTTCTTGCGAAGTTCTGCCGTTGAAAATTAGGTCAGATGGGAGTGTAAATTAGAGTCTATTCACAAGAAGATATAAAATGACGTATTTATCCTCCATTACAGTAGAGCTGTTATCAGAAATGTGAAAGTGTCTTGCATTATAAAAACCGTGTATAAACTCATGAATTTTTTGGTTAACCGAGTTTAAATAAACAAGCTGTCAAGGAACTTAGCCCTAAGTTCCTATTCTAATGAAGACGTTTTCGTTTTGAACCGATAAATACTATGTACGTTCTTCAACTTTAAATCCAAAACACCAGTATTCCTTGAACGAAATTATATTGTTTGGCAATTAAAGTGAAGAAAACTACAAAGTCTACAAACAAATGTTAGGTACAAATGAAGTTATAAAGTACTTTTATTCGTTTTGGTTCCCGTCTTCATTCAACTTGCAAGCGATCGAACCATTCGCGCCTTTGAATTGCCCACCAATGGCTGCCAGTTCCAATAAACAAACGTTCAATGTTCACGTCCATTGACACTCCCCGGCAAAAAAGGGTCCATCCCTTTTTTCCACAGCGGCGGTAACCTTGAACTGAACTGCCAATGCGGGAACCTGGGCCAATCGGGACTAGGCTAAAATTGGAAAAGCAAGACAAAAAAGCCCAACACACAGCAAACATACCACATCACACCGACACGCTCTCCCCGGCGCATGGGATCTACGCTCTCTGACGACAATACCACCACTGATCTCGTTCACAAAGTATCGATTGCTTCATTCCACTCTAGCCCAATCCTCTCCCCGGCGTATCCAATCGCGTACGCTGACTCTAACACTACTCGATTCGTTCACAAGTTTAGAAGCGACTTCAGAAGTACTTACAAAAACATTACAAGATGATTCACACAATGCGACAACTATAAAATTAATCGACAATCAGATGAATCGGAACCCACTGAATTACTCAACACAAACATATGTACAATCAATATATCAAATGTTTTGGATTCTGCCTTGACGAGCTACCCTTGAAGAACTGTAGGACTTACAGCAGTACGCCTACATTCCTTCTCAGGTTGACGCCCTTAAGTTGGAAAATCGTCGTTGAGTTCATTTGCTGACCTCCTTCCATCATCTATATCCTCGACTCTGAATGGAAACACGCCCATGACATTGTATCGTGGAAGGTAGATGACTAACAAACATACGACGTATCTGACCAACCAAGCGAATGTACAGAGTAATTTGCACCAAAGATAATAACATTCAAATAGTAGTTTGAAACCTGAAATGCCTTTATTCGTGCAAGTCAGTCTAACAGTTACCACCTTGTACACAGTTGGCTTATCGTCACTAAACTGGCCATTGACTTTCGTCCCTTCGAACGGACCGACACTAGCATAATCACTGCATAAGACACGTGGGTTCATGGACGACTCTTTTACTGCATATGACAACACCAACGACGACTGGCTGACACCAGTTGATGAACTTAGCGGTGTATCAGAAGCTGCTGTTGTTAGACCTTTAGGAGGTTGTCTAACCACAGGATTACCACCACTGCTATCTTTTATTATTGGCTCCAGTTCAGCTTTAACATCTGTCGATAGTTGGGCTACACTCGGATCATTTACACTGACGGTCTCACGATTATCCATATCTGCAGCAACCGCATCTGCCTTTAATTCTACTTCACGTTCAAGTTGTACAGAACCTTTGTTCAACTCAGTAGTAGTAGGCATTCCGCTAATCTCATCATGATCAGCCACAGACAAATGTGAACTATCATGACCATTGTCACAAATACCCACTTTACCGCCGTTTATATGGTTGACTTCATCATTTTCAACCTCTTTAATAACATCCGCAGATGACTTAGGTACTTCCTCATGAATCCATAAAGGTTTTATACCTTTACTCTGACTAGTAATACCTTGTAAACTTGTGGAGTCAGAACTGGACACTGAAACTGTAACCTTCTTCTTATGCACAAACTGCGGTGTCGTCTGAGACACTCTTTTCAACAATGGATTACCAGTTACGACTACAGGCTTCTTCACCGCACCATTATCGTCACACGATTCGGAGTCAGAACACGATGACGCTGACTTCACATTTAGCTTGCCACTAAACTTGCTCATTGCTTCACAGTTCGCCTTTGTATGCACTTCTTGCAAACGAACGAAGCACAACCGTGTTTGCCTTGCAGCTTGTAACTTATCCGTTGGGGACGTCCCACTAAAGCTGTCACAATCATTAGGTTTACTAGACACCATATAGCTTTCTCGATATCCACTACGCTGAGACCCCTTCGTCATAAATGATTGCATTTTGCTCTCTGATTTCTCTATTCCAGGGGTGGGATGCAGTATACTAGCAAACTTGCTCAAAGCTTGGTTGACACTGTCTTTCACCAGGCTCACAATGTCATCCAACCCGGGCTCTAAACCCTCCTCCTCTAGACGTGAACAAACCTTTATGAACTTCCTTTGTAGACGAACAGGTAATCTCTTGGCAACAGTCTCAAGCACGGAACTTGAGTTCAATTCATCCACACAGTTAAGAGACACAAGAGTATTTCTATATACCATTAAATTATCCAAGAACTCTGTGAGTTCCTCTGAATTATCGCTTAACTGTGATCCGTTACCTTTCACTGTCTCGAAAATACTACGGGATATCATATATGGTTTTCCAAACCTTTGACGTAGTATCTTCATTGCCTCAGCATATCCTTCTTTCGGGGGCATAAAATTACAGCACTGTATGGCTCTTGCAGCCACACCAGTGCAATATCTCAATAAATACATTAACTTCATTTCATCATTTAATACAAAACCACTCAGCATGACCTCAAACTCTTTGATGAACTGTGGGTAGTCGGCTGGGTTTCCATCGAAGTATCGCGGTTCAAACTTAGGCAATCTTAAACCCTTACTATCACTTAACGGTGAGGCGTGAACATCAAACTCAACATGCTGAGCATCATACATTTCATTACAATTAACAGGCAATTCATCGTTATTTACTTTTTTGTCTGCTTCCATGGTGCCACGTCCCTTTCTTGACCCAGGCATTATCCAACGTCACCAAAGAATCCAAATTGCGTTGATAATCCTTGTCCAAAGAGAAGCTGGCTGCAGATCTAGTAAGTACACCCGAAAGAGTCTCAGAAGGCGCTCCAAAAAACGACCAGATGAATGAAAACTGCCCCAGATGGCAATCCAGAAGATGAACAGAAGAATAAAAACTGTTCCCGAAGGCGAACAAACGAATAAAAACTGTCAAGGAACTTAGCCCTAAGTTCCTATTCTAATGAAGACGTTTTCGTTTTGAACCGATAAATACTATGTACGTTCTTCAACTTTAAATCCAAAACACCAGTATTCCTTGAACGAAATTATATTGTTTGGCAATTAAAGTGAAGAAAACTACAAAGTCTACAAACAAATGTTAGGTACAAATGAAGTTATAAAGTACTTTTATTCGTTTTGGTTCCCGTCTTCATTCAACTTGCAAGCGATCGAACCATTCGCGCCTTTGAATTGCCCATCAATGGCTGCCAGTTCCAATAAACAAACGTTCAATGTTCACGTCCATTGACACAAGCGTTATAGAATAGTTGGTCTAAGCCTAATTTCTACTTTCCCTCTGTTGATTGAATTGGCCAAGATGTTCAGTTTCTGTTGACATGTCGTCGTGGCTTGTAGTACGGATATATTTTGACGTTGTCTGAAGATTAACATTGATGTTTTATGATGGAATGTGACCAGCAGTGGAATCCAGGGCATGCGCGTTTCGCCCTATTTGTGTCTCGTTGGCTGGATATACTGTCACTCATTCAAGAGTGTAAGCACATCCAGTTGGTGAGTCCCAAATATGACGGAATGGGCGTGCTCTTGATTCCATTTGAAAAGCACCATCGACCACAAATAACGTCAAGAGTTATACCATAATTGTTTTCGAAGAAAAGTTGTTCTCATAAAATATTATTTTGTTTTTTACATTTACATATTTATATATTTATTTATTTATTTACTCGTCTTTTTAATCTAGAACATTTAGGTCAACAATTAGATAATTATGTAAACAAGTTAAATCAACATGTACACGTTGAACGAATGCATAATCGTAGTGGACTTATCCGTGCAAGATTACAAGGCGCAAAAATTGCTAAAGGCAAAACATTAACATTTTTAGATGCACATTGTGAAGTAACTATTGGTTGGTTAGAAACACTACTTGTACATATTGCTGAGAATCCTAAACGTATAGTCTGTCCTATTATTGATGTTATTAATCATGATACATTTGAATATCTACTTGGTAAGTCAATGGTTCTTTTTTTTCTTTTTCTTATATATCAATCAGCCTTTGTTGGTTTTGGGGTTGATAATATTTTTTTCATTGAGATTGTTATTTGATTGCTGGTAATTTTAGCGGTGGAATCCGGGATGCACCACATTTCGTCCTATTTGGGAATTGTGCAATTCCTCCAAAGCCTCAGGATGGTCGGGGGTGGGTGCCTTGCGCCGCGGGTTGGCCACCCCTCCGCACACCTCTTGAAATGATCCCATATGACCGAGCGTCTTACATAGCCTCTCCTGAGGAAGTCCTACTCACACTGCCTTCACGTGGCGGAGGTGTTTTTCACCAAAGTGAGAGGGCGAAAGCGGATGTCCGGAGCTCTTCACCGGGTTGACTGTCCATTGGATGATAGTCTAGGGGAGATGGATAAACCCTGATTCCAAACCTCCAACGACTGGCGTATGAAGCTCACTGGAGCTCACCGGCAGACGTATGGACAAAGGGCTTGTTGGATGTCCTGGATGTCTGGCCCCATTCAAAAAGGCGTATGAACCGAACTCCGGTCACCGGCTGCCAATGGATAGTGGACTCCCTACTCCACTCCTACTGCCTTGTAGGTCACACTGCACTCTCAAACAAAAGGCCGAGCGATTCTGGGGACATCACTGGTACCAAATTCCAATGAAACTTCATGAACTCTCTTCATCAGATCGCCGCGCCTGGGCAGCGGTGATTCGAGATGTTCATGAAGCCGGCTCATCCTCCCGTAGGAGATGGCCGAAGTAAAGTAAAGTAATTGTGCAATCCCCAATGAGTGATTGTGTTCCCACTGAAACAACTTTAACCCACCGTTTTAAACACCAGAGCGTTAATCACTGAACCACTTGAGCAACGAGATCCACCTCTTGTGTAACGAGTGTCAGTTACTTATTTATTTTTAATTAAATTTTGTTCTTCCTGTTAACTGATTGGCTCGAAATGTTCGGCGCCTGATGACACGTAGGCTCCTAGGATGGACGCTTCAGAGATGTTTTTGAGGATTAACTTGAAGCAATTTAATTTTGACTATTAATTAGTCAATAGAACAACTGGATCTCCTCTTTCCAACTCACATCATCAATAGGTACAACATTTTCTTTCTCTCTTTTCCTTTTCTCTCTCTTCTTTTTCCGTTATGTGCTGCATTGTTTCTTTCTCTCGCTTACGCCAGTTAATAAGACAGCCCCCACTTTTCTAACACCTTCAAACAATGTTCAACTTTGGCTTTGCTACCGACACGCCAGTATGTTGTTGTCATAATGAACTGAGATTTCCTTAATCTATGTAGAATTCTATTTATTGATAATGTACTAACTGGATGCAATACTGTAGTAAAAATGCTGAGAATTCCATTCTGTATCACAAGTACTGTTTTGGAATAAAGCAAATTATTATTATTATTATTATTATTATGTTCCACTTGGAACGTAAAGGAATAAAATAAGTGATAAATAAAAAAGATAATTTTCATAGTATCCATACATTTACGGAAACCATAGATTGAACAGTATTGAATTTAGGTACAGTGCTAAGTAAGGAGACGGAATTAATAAGTGACTAACAAGTGAATAAAAGACTCCTTAGTAAGTAGGATATGTGCTGCTCCCACTGGGTCACCTAAACTACTTGTTGTAAAGATTTGTGTAGGAAAATCTAATCAGCGTAATGCATCTTATCTTGTGGTCAAAGGTGCTATTAAAAACTGTTACTTTTGCATCGGATATGCTGTAGTTATGGTTTGGTATGGTATGAATTATTCAATCATACTCGAGTAACCAATGTCAGCCTATTGAGTTTTAGTATCTCTTACGACAGGTGATCGTCAGATGTCACATTACAGGAACACAAGCATGAGTGACATAAGTATGTTAATTTTGCCTATTACCAGAACACTTAACTTAATGTGTAGGGCTTTGATTGGTTTCACGAACTAATTGACAGTTGTTCTGTTCTAGTTTGGGACTCTTCAGTAGCACTCACCTATGATCTTCACAGACGTTGAAATTGATGGGTGATTGAATCCTGCCACATTAACTGAAATAGTAATGTTTGTCTTTTGACCTTAAGTTTCTAGGTTCAATCTTCAGTGGGATTACGATTATGTACTAGTGTGAGTTCGTGATGAAATCTTCCATGACACTTTTTTTCTCTGCATTTACTAAGATATAAATGTTTGTTCAGTGATATTGTTTAGAGATTTTCAATCTCTTCATCTTTTAATACTGATTCTGTGTACTTCAGTCTGTGAAAAAGATAGCGATAGGACACATTCATTATCTTCAGTTAGCGAACCGTTGTAAACCAGGTAGTATCGGACACCTGTTTCGCCTTTGTTTGAGACTCTTCGGCAGTGCGCATCCTTGACGCCACCGAGGATTCAACTCAGCACCTTCAAGTTACAAGGTGAACTTGTTGATATTTCAGCTACTAGAACGGAATCTAATGACCCATCAATTCTCACTTCTGAAACAATTCATGGTATACAGTGTGAGTGCCAGTCAATGTTATCGGCGAGTATTCGTCCTCAAGCCCAACTTCATGGAACTGCTTGAACATGACTTTCCAGTACAACCTCAGGGAATTTTATCCTGTAATCAGTCACTACTGAGCACTAGATTAATTTTCAACTGTTCTTCTGCAGGGATTTGATTGTCTTCAAGCTTGACCATGAACTGACTTCAGTTAAAGGACCACTGAAAACCATGGAGTAATGGACAGCTATTTTGTCCTTCTTTGTTTAGCGGTTGTGTTATGCTGCGAATTGGCAGAAGTTAAAATTAATGGACTATTGGATTCCATTCCAGCGACCTCACGATAAACGAGCTCGCTTTGTAACCTGAAGGTCTTGGATTCGATACCTGCTGGTGAGGTCATAGCTACGTACTGTTGAAGAGTCTCAGAGAGGGACGAAACGGCTGTTCAGTGCTCTCTGGTGGTTTTTAATGGTTATGTAACTAATGTCAATTTGTGGTCAAAACTGTAATCCTTATTTGTTTGTCTGCGTGATGTTTTAAAATGGTGAAATTATTTTATACCTTCCTAATAATTAATATAATCAATCAACATTTTTGAATATGTGTTTTTATATTCATCTAAATCAGGTTCTGATCGTACATGGGGTTCTTTCGATTGGCATTTCAGTTTTCATTGGGAAAGTGTTGGTGATAGAGAAATTGATAGACTTGATGATGATCATAGTAAACCGCTGAGAACGCCCACTATGGCTGGTGGTCTATTTACTATTGTACGAGATTATTTTTATGAGGTAAGTCAGCCGGGTTATCAGCAGTCTTTACATCAACCTCGCCTAGTTTACTAGCCGGTTGTAAGTACGGCAAAAGAGGGAAGGTTTGGTATGGGACCAACGACCACCGTTCCCTCAGAAAATCAACCCAATCGCTACAAAAACTAGAAAACCACAGCAAGAATTCTTTTTTAAAAAATAGAACTTATTCTTTGTTGAAATCAGACAAACGGAATGATGTGGGCTGATAAAAGCGTTTGGAAAGCCAGTCACCCTATGTGTGTCTTCTTTCAATGAAGGCAAGAGTAAGTATAAGGAAATTTGAACGAGATCATTTCCTTCACTTATCTTGGCAGTATCGTTTCAGTTACATGCGGAACGGTTGACGAAGTCAAAGCCAGGATCGGAAAGACAAGACAGAGCTTCATTCATGTGAAATTAGTCCTGTAAATCTACTGCACTAAGCATAAAGAACAAGATTCAGATTTTTTAACACCTGTGTCAAATCAATTAATTCTTCTTATATTGTTTACTGACTTGACGTGAGCGCCACAAAAAGCATTTAGAATAGGCAACGGCAGACTTACTATCAACAGCTGTCTTCGCTCCATACTGAAGATCACATGACCATAAAGGATAAGCAACAGAGAACTCTGGGACGGACCAACCAGGAGCTCATCGTTGAAAAAATTTGGCGAGGGGATAGAGATGAACCAGACATACATTGAGGGGGACCGTAGAGTGACATTGCGCGCCAGACCCGAGTGGGAAACGATGAGTTGGGTATTCGTGGGTGACATGGAGGAGATTGTACAAGGGGGAGATGAAAACCTTTAGGCAATAATAGATTCAGCTGAAGAGGACTACAAAGAGAGAGCATAGTGGAAGAGAGATATGCTTTCCCCTGAGAACTCAAAGGAATAATAATAATAATCCCCTACGTCATTTTTGGTCTTATAGAGCATTCATGCTCTGTTTATGTTTTCATAAAGGCCTTTTCATTCCTTACACTGATATGGATGGTTTATTGTTCTTTATATCGAACAGTTGATGTCTAGTCTTCATATTGATCAGTAACTTTAAGATGTTTTGTTTCCCACATGTGATTCCACATTTAATCTATTCTTGGATGATGACAGCATTTATCAAAACGCTAATAAAACACGGTTACCGTTAACCGTCCATACTACTATCATCAGTAGGTATACGTAGTATCGAATTCATCGTTTCAAAATTATACCATTGGAGGTGAGATATCGCCACAATTTCCTTTGGGATATTAAAAAATTTTCAGATCATGATATATATTTGATCTGATCTACTTAATACCATAAGTGGTAATGAAGAAGAGAGCGACAAACACACTGTGATGCTATATACTACTAATAAGTATGCATAGTTGAGGGCCACTCATATCAGCCAGTAGAACTTGATAATCAAATGAAACAGGATCTAAATACCGGCTGGTCGTATTCGTCGTCGAGATTCGAGCTCATCAGTAGTGCATCCGCGTTAACTCAGTAGGCTCAGTAAGCTGAATCGCTCAATTTGTAACAACAGAAGACAAGGGCCAGGCAACAGATCGTTTATTAAGGAAAATCAACACATATTTATAGATTTTAATATACATTATTGTAGATTATTGTTAGTAGAAAATACAGTCTTTTGATTAGTTGTTTCTCACAGAAAGTTAACCTTGCATCTCTTTGTGGCTGTGTCAGATCATCCATATGCTAACTGTATCTGCCCACGCAAAGCCTTTGTTCTCATTTTCTCACTACCAATATTGGGGACATAAGCACTGACGTCAATTACTGTCTACCAACTTTGGCTAGCAGCCAGCTCTCACCACAAATTCACGCTGACGTAGGAATAAGTTGGAAATAAGTAAGGGATGGCCAAACCAAAACCTAGCCTCTCAATCATTAAAGTCTTCAACTGTTAGTTTGAGCCACGTGAGTAGGTGCAGACTGTCTATTTGGTGGGGTCCTCTTGATACTAATAACCAGTTTCATTAGAGATTGTCGATGATAGGGTTCAAAATCTTCCTCTCATAGCGAAGATTCATTCACTCTTTATGATCTACCATATCTACTAACTATTCATGTTTTTCATGCTTTTCTCGAATCCCGGTGTATGCGTACTGCTGAAGAGTCCCAAACTAGGACGAAATAGCTGTCCAGTACTCCTTGCAGGTTTTCCAATGGCTCTCTAACTAATGTCAGCTCATGATGAAATCCTGTAACCAATCAAATCCCTACAAACTAACACTTGAATTACTTACTTTTCTTCCTCCCTCACATATCTGCTCTCATTGTAGTACTCTTTTCTTCTTCTACCTTTTATCTACTTTTGTGTGGTACATGGAGTATGTATGACAAGTTGAACTGGTTCACTTCTATGTAAAGTTCTTTGTTGAAACTCAGCCAGTTATTAATTAGTCAGAATTCAAACTGGCTACTAGAGTGAGCTAGTGAAACATTGAGTCAAATTCGCTTTTATTTCAAAACTGTGTGATCAGTTTCCATTCCTATTTATGACAGCAGTGGTGTATATTTTGTGTCCTGTCTACAATCACAAGAAGATGAGAAGATGAATCTTGAGTAAAATGGAACAGCTTAGATGCATGCATGCATGATCTTGTAACTTCTCGTGCATAACACAAGTATATACTTAAAGTGTCAATAATAACTCCAAGATACCCACACACACCAGCACGTACCTATGAGATATGGTCCAATGGTTCACTGTTAGAATACTGGCAAGCCACAAGCATGACCTGGGGTTGACTCCGGACTATCGTACTCGTTACCCTCGCCTAGTTTAATAACCAATAGTAAGTTCGAAAAATGAATAAGGTTAGGTGTGTGAGGCTGGAAACTAAATCCTGTAAAAAACAACACTGCTTCTGAAACTTCACAGGCTAATAATAATAATAATCTACTTTATTCCAAAACAGTACTTATACTACAGAATGGAAATCTCAGTATTTGTCACAATGTTGCATCTTATTTACTTGAAATATAAATAAAATTAAAAATTAAAACAAAATTAACTGGAGGAATTTGTCCACGTTTACGATATAAGGTCAAAAATATTCGAAGCACGATTTGAGAATATTAAATATAATGATAATAATAACTGAATTTGTTTCAAACAGTATTGTCGATTCAGTTTGGAAATTTTAGCATGTTATAGATTATTGAATCTAATGTTCTGTTGATATAGTATAGTGAGGGGAAATACAAAATTAACAGTTATTACCCAGCTGAAATGATGTTCAGACTTATGAAAAAAAAATTGAGAGGATTATAAATATAAGAAATACAATAACAATAAAGTTTGATGCTTTAAGGGTGAAGGAAATGGTTTATTTAGTGGTGCTAAGAAGGTTAGTTAGTTCATACCTGACACTATTTTCATCACATAAAGTACGTGCTAAATATGGTATAGTGGAATTTTTATACTTAGAAGTACGTGCATAAATTCTTCTGAAAAGACTTCTTGTTTCACCTGAGGAGACACAAGGTTGAAGCTGCGGGTAGAGTGGGTGCTCAGGGTCTGACAAAATTCCTTTAGTGAATTTGTTGCATGTAATTAAGTACTTATCAGTGACAATGTCAACGATATGGCCCAATGGGATACCTCTCGCCCTACTGGCTGACAGTCTTCAGAGTTCTACGAAGTATGACATAGTCCTTTTTAAGCAATTCAGGAAAGAATAATGGTGAACAGTAAAGAAGAATAGGTAAAATACACGAGTTGATCAACTTTAAGAGGAGTGGTTGAGTTGTGCCTGAGTGCCTTAACTTCTTAATGTAAAAAGTCAAACGAAATATTCTTTTAGAAATCGCTAAGACATGAGAGGACCAGGATAGGTCAGAAGAGAGAATTAATCCAAGATACTTAACTTCAGACTGGGTTTCTGTACCAGTATCATCGATTTTGCAAGGGTCATAGGAACCAACGGCTTCATTTAACTTTCGTTTACATCGGAAACTGAAATTAACAGTCTGACATTTGGAAGGATTAAGTTAAAGGCCGTTAGATGAAGACCATTTGCTAATTCCTGATAGAAAGCTGTTTATCTTAGTACAGTCTACCTGGGAGTTAACAGACATTGAAATACTTAGATCATCGGCTACTTAACAAAGTTCATTTCATCAGAGTGAGGCAAGTCATGCAAGAAGAAAGAAAACAGAAAAGGAGAAAGGACAGCGCCTTGAGGGACACTAGTCTCAGTAAGCAACGAAGTGGACGACTTTCTCTGACATACAGTGTACTGCTTTCTTTCTGAGAAATAAGAATGGAGCCATTTGACAACTCAACAGTCAGTTTGAGTTTCAGCAAGCTTGTTTAACAAAATGTCCCTAGGTACTAAGTCGAAAGCAGATGTGTAATTTAGGAAGGTGCAGCGAACAAATTTAGCCCCCTTGTCTAAGCTGGAGACAATTTTATGATACAAGACTGCAGCTTCATCTAGAGTACTTTTACTGTGTTTGTAGGCGAATTTTTTGGGATCGTTAAAGGCTATAAGTGAAGGTTGAAGATTAAGTAAGAGCAACTTTTCCATAGCTTTTAGAAAAGGGGGAGTAATAGCAATGGGTTTAAATTTACAACATGTTGCAGCCATATGATTCACCTGGAACACAAGGAATCAGAAAGCTGTGAGATATGACCCGTTGGACCAGATCCCTGTCTTTCAACAAATGCAGTCCCAGGTTCAAACTCTTCTCCACCTTATTTAACCTGAGGTATCCGGTAATATCTTTATCCCTCACATATTAATAATTGTGGCTCATAGTCTAGTCTAGGCTAGTGTTATTAATGTAGACATTAGCACTGTTAAGCTATTCTTCCCCATTCAACTATTTACTCATTACGTCATCATATTGAATGCGTATATGAAGTTATTGCAGGAAGATAGAAAGACAATGCCAACTACAGAAGTGTAATCACAGACCTAAAATCCCAGGTTGATTACAGTGCATCAAATAGTTTGGTTAATATGCATAATCATT